TTTGTCAAACAATGATAATCTAATTTGACTGTGAGGAAACTTAATAGTGATACACTTTTGAACAGGGGAAAACACACTTAGAAGATTTAGAGGACAAGGAACTTAGAAGTAGACTTTTTTTAAAAAGAGGCTTTTTTTGGGGGGGGGGGGAACCCAAGCAACAAAACTGCTATGTGGTCTGTCTCAGATGAAAGTTTCCTGGAGAAAGACCATATACTGGTTTGGTGTGAATCACCCCGTTCAGAAGTCCACAGTCCACGTGGGCAGCCCGCAAGCTGATGAGGTCACGCCGGCTCCCCACACAACATACCTTACAGTTTAGAGTATTAAGGTAAAGGTGGTTTTAAAAGCTTATTAAGCAGATTCATTCTAAAAGCAACAAACCCTGAATAAAGCTGAATTAAAAAAAAAACAAAAAAAACCTACCGTAAACTAGGGTCCGAGCTGCCTAAATTAAGTAATGCAATATTGAGCAGTGTCCCAGGGACATCTTTGGGCCGAATCTTGGTGTGCTGGGGGATGGAGTCGGGCTGCGACAGCTCCCAGCGCGTCCGGATGTGAATGATGGACTGGACGATGGCTTCGCACTCCTGGTGCATGAAGGTGAGCGGGGTGCCCTGGTTTGCAATGGTTAAGGTAAACTGGTTCTCGTCCACCAGGCAGATCTCCTCAATTTCTGAAGCGTAATAGATGTCATTCAGAAAGACCGACTGCCCCAGGACCTTTGTTCGCTCTGCTGAGGTTACTTGAACAGCAGTAGAACCAACCTGGGAAGTGATGGTGAGGGAGGGTGGGGTGAAGAAGCATTAAATCCCATTCTACAGAGTTGTAAGAGGATCCGCAAACCGACAGACCAAACAGATACCATGTCTGCCATTGAAGGAAGAGTTCCCACCACTATATATTCAAATGGGTTCAATAGTTATTGTGATAAATGATCTTGAAGGACCAAAAACATTAAAAAATTTTTTTTGTTTTTAAAAAGGTCAAGAATCCTATGGACAATTATGGATTTTACCTTGATTCATGCCTCCCACTCTGCAAAGAGCATGCAATAATCCGAAGAATCCTCACTTGGTAATTTCCACCCTCCACACATTCCCACCCCTTGGCAAACTGCCCTCTCCACAGCACCCCCTGCTTCTACTCCAACCCAGAATATAATTAAGCGTACGCCTCTCACTGCTTCCGGAGGACCTCCCTGAAGATCGAGAGCTTGGCATCCTTCACCTGGACTTACTGGTTTAAGACGCAACTACGAGGACACTTCAGGGAGGCCAGCACGGCCTGGTTAGCCAAGACAGCTAAGAAGCCAATCACCTAACAGGGGGTGACACTTACTTTAATAGAGACCTTGGTGTCTTTGTGCGCCAGCTTGAGAGCATTGTGGAACACCTTCAGGTCCTCTTCTAAGGCCAGTGTGGCAGCGGGGAGCTTCTGTTGCTCGTGCTCTATGTGCTCAGCCAGCTTCCCAGGACAGTCTATGAAAATGAGCCTCTTGCTGCCTTTGAGGCCCGTGAGCAGCCGCTCGTGGTACTTGGTGTACTCCCTGACCCAGGAGTTACAGTTATAGATGTAGACTGCAGAGACGTTGTCGTAAGCAAAGCCAGGAAACACAACAAACCACTTGGAGAGGAAGTCCGTTTTAAAGCGATTGCTAGGCCCGGTGTGAGTAAGGTCCACTACGATTTCATATGGCTTTGCATAATATGGCTTTAAGGTCAGCAAGACGTGGTAAATCAGCAAATCACCATTGATCTGACCAGTTTTAAACCTAAGGCAGGTGACCAAAAGAGGGCACAGATGGTTAAGAGGGTTCTGAATAAATATTACAGATGCTACTAATCTATTCCATTCTTTTAATTTTCTGATTAGCTTTCTAGTGAAAACTAATATAAAACAATTAAATAAAGTCTAAGTCGTATTTAGATTTTTTGTTTTTTAGACGTTGGGAAGAAAGGCTGAAGCAAAACGGAAGAGACAAGTCTCCAATTCAAAAACTTCTGAGCAACAACAAACTTGCACACCGCAGACAAGCGGGGGAAGGCAGTGAACACTGGCTGGCTGCCTCAAGGCCCGAGGAACTTCCCAGGTGAACTGCCTTGGGGGGGGAATGACCCCCTGGGGTCCCGGAGTGACCTGGACGGCTTTGGTCAATTTGTTCACCCCACCTAGACCACGGTGGTTCAGCGATGATCATGACTCAAATCAGGACAATAAGGGCCAAAGAGGCCCAGTTCAAAGACTTTGGCTTTAGTTGGGAATTGAGACGACTTCTTTCCTGGTGTTTATAAACGAGAGGAACACACTGCCCTGGGAGTTGTTAGCTCATATCTTGACATATGAAGGAAAAGCCTGCTAAAAATTGAAGAAATGGAGCAGAGAGACGAAGGGAGAGACTGGGGCCCCAGCCGTTTCACTAGGGTCCTAGATAAGCCCTCTCCTGAGATCACATGTATCCCTGGACTCTTCAGTTGTGTCAGCCAATAAATTCCTTTTTTTTTTTTTTTGATTAAGCCACATTAGGTCATAGGTCGCTTACAAATCAAAAGAATGCTGACCAGTGTGAGAACAGCCAAGGCAAAGACCACCAGAAAGCCCTGAAGAACACACTACTAGACCTGCAAGTGAGAATAGCATTAACTTGGCCCAAAGTTCTATCCTTGATGACGCTGGTAGTGCGAGGCTCTGATCCTTACTTACCTCAGAGTTTAAAAAAAAAAACAACAAATCTTGTTGGAAGCAAATAAGATAAAAATATAAGTTAAATGACTTTAAAATAATTTTTTGAGAGAGAGAAAGGGAGAGAATGCATGAGCAGGGGGAGGGGTAGAGGGAGAGGATCTCAAGCCGGCCCCATGCCAAGTGCACAGAGCCCGACACAGGGCTTGATCCCAAGAGCCTGAGATCATGACCTGAACCAAAATCGAGTCGGATGCTCAAATGACGGAGCCACCCGGGCGCCCCAAAATAAAATATTTTAAGATGAAAGAAAAGGTATGAGGTCGTACATAACCACTTATCAAATGAATAGCAGAGAAAAAGTTCAGAAGAGGGAGATATGAACACAAACTGGGTAGCCAGTGAAAGCGACACAGAGGATGCTGAGGCTCAAGCGGGCAGGAGAAACCTTGAATTTGACAAGAGGAGGGACTGGTGCGCCTCATGCGGAGACCTGAAAGAGGCCTCTAAAGAGGAAAAGAAACAGATACCTAGGTGTGCTGAGGCAGCAGTCAGCTAGTTTAGCTGGATGAAGGGTTTTAAGAGATAAAGCTGGACAACTGTGCTAGTAGGTATTTACCCCAAGGATATAGAAATACTAATTCGATGTTTACAGCACTGATGAACCCTGATGTGTACAGCAGCAGTATCTACAATAGCCAAATTATGGAAAAGAGCCCAAATGTTCATCAACTGCAGATGGATAAAGAAGAGGTGGTATATATTTCAACAGAATATTAGCCATAAAAAAAGAACGAAATCTTGTCATCTGCAATAATGTGGATGCAGCTAGAGTGTTTTATGCTTAGTGAAATAAGTCGGTCAGAGAAAGACAAATACCACATGATTTCACTCCATATGTGGAATTTAAAAAACAAAACAAACAATCATAGGGGAGAAAAAGAGAGAGGCAAGCCAGAAAACAGACTCTTAACTATACAGAACAAATTGATGGTCACTGGAGAGGAAGGGGGGGTGGGCACTTAAATAGGTGCTGGGGATTAAGGGGCACATTTGTGACGAGCACCAGGTGTTGTAAAGTGCTGAATCACCTGAAATTAACATTACACCGCAGGTTAACTGGAAATTTAAATAAAAATTAAAGAACAAAATCAAATAAAATGGAAAGCTTAACTTTACTAAAAAAAAGAGAGAAAGCCTGAAAAATACGTAATAGCTAAGTTGTGAAGAGATCGAAAAGTTTTCAACTAAGAGGTTTGAGTTTTCTCCGGTATTTCTCGCGGAGCCCAGTATCACAACCAACTGTGGCACCTGCTATGAACGCAGTCTGGCTCCCCGGCGCCCATCCTGACCTTCTACGTGTGAATCTGTACCGGGAGGCCCAGCAATTTTCTCTGTTTTTCGACAACCTTCTCATCTGATATTTATGTACACGAATATTTCTGATTCACTGCTATAGGTGTTAGGGGAGTTATTCAACTTTATATTCTTAAAGAAAGAAGTGATACAATCAAAGGAAGTGATGTATACAAGATACCTGAAGAAGTCAGGGCTGGTAAAAAACAAAAAGATACTGTAGTAGTTTAGGTATGGCCTACTAGGATCTAAATGCTACAGTGACAGTTTAGAAACAAAAAAAAAAAGAAACCAATTCAAGAATATGAAGGAAGAGCCAACATGATCCAAGTTCTGGTCAGGGCTGAAAGAAAGGACTTGAATTAAAAGGACTTGCTGTATATCAAGCGTCTGAGATCACAAAGAATGTTGCTATCATGAACATGAGGGGCAGCCACTTTTGGAGGGAAAATGAAGTCCATTTAGATACACTGAATATGCAGTGATGACAGGGCCTTCGAGGAGTGTGCGCGCGAGGGTCTTTGTGTGTGTACACTCAACAACACAGAAGTATATTCTGCCCCATATAATCTAAATTCATTAGATATTTTCTCAAGTCTTTTGTAGTTCCACAATTTGAGAGGTTGGTTATGTGCATCAGTGCGTCTATTATCTGACCAGTACCCTGGGTCTCCTAGCTCGTGTCATCAAATCTGTCTGTGGTACACAAAGGAAACGTTCAGAGAAGATTTTAGTGCTGCAGGAAAAATACCCTTCCATCTCCTTTTGAATGATACGAATACAACATTCAAAAGCACACAGCAGGCATATACAATGAGCATAAAGGTCAAAGGCACGGAGTGGAAAGCCCTCCCTGCCCTGAAGGCGGAGATTAGTTGTACAAAGCCTCCTGTCATGCCAGTGGCCAACTGGACAAGTTGGATTTTTTTCCCCCCTGTGACATGTGCTTTAGTTGCCGCAGAAAGGAAATGTGTCATCTGTGGTCTGGTTTTAAAAGTGGAAAGCTAGCTGTACATATCCTTTTCTTTAACTGCAGATTTACTTTAAAGTTCATATTCTCCAAGTCTATTCTGCTTTAAGTTACTGGGAGCTGTGCTTCAAGACAAGAAAAGAAGCGGCTTTTATTAAAATCAGGTTAAAATCAGATTCTGACCAAGAATTTGTAAGGTAGGTCGTATATATGGCTTTTCTTATGCCTTCTTACTCATAACCTCGTACAGATTACTATTCCAGGAGGTGTTTTCAAATAATACCTAAGAATCTTACTAATAAAGTAGAACCATAAGTGACTGAAAATGTATGCTCTTGTTTTCTGTCCTATTAACATCTAAGTTACAAATGGAAAGATTTATCATCGACATAGAGTTTTTATTAGGATTAGAAAGGACCTGAGTTTAGACTCCACAGTGAATTGAAAAGTTTTACTTGTTATTTAAAAAGCTTAAAAAATAAAGTTCTCATTCCTAATACTCAGGCCTTGTAAATTTTATGAAAAATGATCAGAGATAAAGGGAACTTTTGATAACATAACCTGGCTTCTATGGCATAGATCAGGAATACAGAGACAGTCCTCTGTTCTCAGGCATCTGTAAGGGCAAGAGAAAGTCTCGTTTTGTTCCCAGCTTGTTTATTTGGGGCCGACGGTACATCTGGCCGAAGACAATCCACAGCGGGCCTATTATCTCCCCCGTGGTAAGCACTGCTAAAATGAGTACGGACACCGCGATGCATAATACTACATCGTTAATGAACTAACGTGGTAAGAATAACCCACTTTAAATCACTTTAGCATTGAATGCAATAGGCTAGTCTGGGATGCAAGGATGGAAATTACTTGCTAACCCAAAATAAAATATTTCTCTTTGTGGAAGAATCGTAGAGTATCCAAAGACTGAGGTCATTCAACTTAAAAAGTGAAGCGGAATGCTATTTTATAGAAGTCAGTGTATAAACCTTTCAAGTGTCTATTAAGTAATCTTAATTCTCCTTATTTTCCTTTAGGAAATACTGCATCAGTGGTTAGTTGCCAGTTCGTTTATTATAAGCTACTTTTGTTTGCATAAGAACGTATCACATTTGTTATTCTTAATTTCTGTATATCAACAGCATCCAAATATTATCCAATGACATATAGCAACTATTTCTTATAAAACCTCAAAACTCAAAAAAGCATGGCTAGCAGCTGCATCCGTCTTACTTGGGAGGAGGTCAGAAATGCAGATCTCAGGTCCCTCTTAGACTTACAGCACCAGAATCCACATCAAACAAACAAACAAACAAACAACTCCCATGCACATTTAGGTTTGAGAAGAACATCAATAAAATAAAGATCTTAAACAGGCAACTCCACTGAGTCGATCTCAGGAGAATAATAAAGGTTTTGCTTCCAGTTATCTCAGACAAATGATAACAGTAAGACGCTCTTACAAAAGTAGCTCCAAACAGAATATTACTACACCAGAGATCACTCGATAACGGTGAGAAATCTTTCCCACTGGTTCATCAGCGCCTGGGACAGATATGCCAGCTCGGTTTAAATCTTCAATCGTACGGTGGCTAATGAGAATTAGGAACAGACTGGTCGGTCTCCTTTTGCACTGCTTTCAAGGAGTCCGAAGCCACAACTAACGCTCATCTTTTTTATTTATATGTTGAGACTCAAGATCTGTCTTGTTGTCCCACTTCAGCCTAAATCCCCACAATCCTGGTGTCTCTATTTTCCTGTATCACGTATTCTAAAAAATTGTGTCAAAAGATTCAAAAAAGACATGCTGGGCGTAAGTGATGATGAAAAAAAGGCAATAAATTTGTTGAACTTTTGGGATTATTCAGAAGAAATCTGCCTCTTTTTCACCGTAATGCCAGATTTTTAGGCTGAAAAACCTGGCGTGCCTTTGCCTTCAGAAAGCCACAAGAAGTCAGGGGCTACGGAGGCGAAGAGAGAGAGCCAACACCGTGTAAGTGCTTTCACAAATAGCCAGGAGTAGATTTGTAAGCACTAGCTTTAGTCTCAGCTTCAAGATAAACACCCGGAAAGAGAAAAGAACATCTTGAATTCCTATTTGAAACTCTTTTCCTTTGGTGGCTACCACACTTCCCCTTTCTCAACTCCCAAACCCAAGCCCAAAAAGCCATTTGCACGTTCTTTTCCTACTTAAAGCAAAACGCTCAAGGCCCACACGAAGACGGGTGGCACATTTGTTAAGTGTGGGGAGTTTCTGCAAGAAAGATCCTTAAATGGTTGGGGCGGGGGCGGGGGCGGAAGGAGGAATCAGAAAAGTAAAAGCAGAAGTTGTCAACTCAAAGCTGAAGTTCAGCATGCTTGAGCGGGAGAGAACTACACAAAACCACAGCGTTCAGTTTAAAATGATTCGTAGGTATTTATAATGCGAACTTCTAGCATTTAAAAGAATAACAGAGATCAAACGGATTCTTTAGACATAACCTAATAGAAAAAGTCAGTTGAGAAGGCCTTCCAACAGGATAGCAAGCATTCGGCATGAGTGTGTGGCTTACCTGTGACGTATCAGCTGTCCACTACAATCACGAAAAGCAGGAACGGTTATTCTTTCACAAACTAACACCTGACCTTGCTGTCCCAACAGATTACCAGTGTGCTCACGGATATGGAGACAGTGGGACGTTACCTGCACCTTGCCTTTGTGATGACAACAGTTTTTTCTTTGCATCCCGGAGCAAAAGCAAACTATACCCACCTGTGGGCTAACGGCACTACGGTCTGGGATCCAGATATTCAAACTAAGGCGGGCAGAGACCAGAATGAAAACATGAACAGCAGCCCTCCCCCTTCTGCCGTAGATAAAGAGGGTAATTCTACAAACACGACTGAAAGAGCCACGTCATCTCCTGCCCTCTCTCTAACTTCTCAGTGGGAACCGGAGACTTCTAGGCCTTCTGTCGTCAGGAACGGCTCTCCGACAGTACAGAGCATGGAAAACGCAAGCAAAAGCCACCATGAAATTTTCAAGAAAGGGGTCTGTGAGGAAAACAGCAACAAAATGGCTATGCTAATTTGCTTGATTATCATTGCAGTGCTTTTTCTCATCTGCACCCTCCTATTTCTTTCGACTGTAGTTCTGGCAAACAAAGTCTCATCTCTCAGACGATCAAAACAAGTAGGCAAGCGTCAGCCGAGAACCAACGGCGACTTTCTGGCAAGCGGCGGCCTGTGGGCTGCTGAATCAGACACCTGGAAAAGAGAGCACCAGCTCACGGGGCCCAACCTTGTGCTGCAGTCTCCCGGGACCCTCCTAGCTACGAGGGAAAGGAAAGATGGAGGAGGAGCTGGAAACCCCCCTAACTGACAAAAGTGTTAGTAGGGACACACACGAAGCAGCGATGAGAAAGCTTATGAAGTAAAAATGAAGTCGCTGTGATACTCAATGCCAAGTTGGTCCGGGGCTCTAAACTGTGTGGACACAAGCAGGCCTGCAATTCAGAATTAAGCAGGTGCGAGCGAAGGGGGGGAATTCAGCTCACCTTCTCAAATACTTAGACTGTGCACTTGTATTCCAACACTGAATATCTAAAAAAGCAAATAATAAAACACCCAAGAAAGTGGAGAAGGTTTTAAAGACGAGCTGGAGGAAATGACTGATTAATGGAGGAAGAAGGGAACAATTAAATATGTCCTGGCCAGCCACAGTAGTTAGGTGGTCGTTGTCTGAATGTAATTAAACTTCCAAGAGTTTTGTGTGCCCTTCGAGGCAAACATCTGCTTCAACATCTAACAGAAGCCAAATTCCTAACGCACAGAGTTGAACTGTAGTTTAATGGTGCCTCTGCCGAACGCAACGCAATCGGTACCAGCTCATGTATCAACACAGCTAATTTTATGCTAGATGTTTTCATCTCTATGCATGGCACACATAAGAAAATGTTTTTCTACTACAAATATTTAATTAAAACTTTTAATTTTGTATCCTAAATTAAGACTCATTAGAATAAAACTGACTACATATATTATTTGTATTCATGTTATTATCTTAGAGAACACAGTGTAAAGATTTCCATAAGAAATCGCACCTCACTGAAACAGAGGCGATTGTAGCCACCACGAACGCCAAGTGTAAATGTACAGCATATCTGAACTGCAGTGTACCTCTGTTCTACAAATACTGCTTATTGGACCATTTATAGCAAATATCCAAAGGGTGATTAATTTTCTGACTTCTTAACAAATGATCTTTTTTTCCTTCCTTCCTCCCTCCCTCCTTCCCTCCCTTCCTTCCACTGTCCGATGTGACAGAAGCAAAGGAAAGATGGGTATGTGTTCGCTCTAATTTGGAAAACAGGGTACTCCAGGTAATTGTTTAACCTTTCAAGAAACTGGGTTCAAGTAAAATAATGACTTACACTTAAATCAAGACTGCCACCTTCAGTTAAATGCATTACAAAAGTTGGTTTGAGAGCCTTTCCAACTGACTACTAAAACTGATCAGGGCATACTAACTAAAGACCAAGCTACATTAAAAAAAATCTCATTCCTTACTGAGTATTTATTTGGGGCAATATGCTAGCCATTTAAGAAAATATTTTATAGATTTTTGTCAAGTATGATCACAATTTTATTCTCCCTTTTAGGTTAGTGATTCTCATCTTGACTGTGTATCAGAATCATCTGAAGAGTTTTTAAAACTAGCCAATACCTATTTCCCACCCTCTCTTTCTGATCGGCTGGAATGGGGTGACCTCCAGGCACTGGTAATTTTTTGCATTAATTCTCTAGGTGATGCTGCTCTTGGCCATCAAATTCACTTTTTACAGGTACCATGGCTCTAAAGATCTAGGTTACATCTTAAAATGAGAGGGGAAAAAAACCAAAGCATCAATTTTATGATCAATTTATTGCCAATGTGTTAAAAAATTATAACCATAGCATTCTAGATAAAGCCAAATGTCAAAAAAGGAAAAAGGGGAAGCAAGAGAACACTCATGCCAGCCACGGTGATATCCAGATCCCTTCTCAGGGGGTACAAAGGACCAGACTGGCCAAGAAACTGAGCAGAGCTCCCACCTTATACAAATTAATAATGTGAGATCGTGTACTCGAACAACTAGCGGGAACACAAAGAGCTCCTTGAATCAGGAGTCAAATGTACTTGTCAGAGGAGACTGAAACAAGTTAGCACCGTTTTAAGAATAAGAAATTAACTAGGAAACTACTTTCATATTCAGCATACAGGTCAAACGTTTTCTGACAAAACAGAAAGTTTCTATGGTAGAAATACCTAAAATTCATCACTCCCTCATTAAATACACACCCTCAGAATGACGCAATCCAATGGCAGCTCATGAACAAACCAAAGTGGCTCCTTTTCAAACTTGACAGTGTTTAAACATGATGCATTAAGATATGTTTTGAGTTCAAATTTTAAAAGTGATTTTTGAACAAAGACATTTTTGTTTTGGACACCTGGGTATTATGGTCCACACGCTTAATTTGGGGATTTTAACATAGTGATGAATCAAAAGTTTAGTGTTTTGATTATATTCTGCTTTATAGTAGGACCCCTTAGAAACAGAAATGATTCTTTTTGTACCAGGTTATAAGTAACCTTGATGTTAAGAACGAGGTCTTAACAGTCTGGGATCCTCTGCAGTGCCCAGGAAAAAGCAGGGCATGGCTTAATCCTTACTGTTTCTACTGTAACAGGTGCTATCCGAGGCACTTTACGTTTAATCCCGTAACAGATCTACAAGTTAGGAATTATGATCTCCCTTTCTCAATTGAGGAAAGAGGCTATAAGGTGACTTGTCCAAAGAAAATTTTTATTCAGACTGACGCGTTCTCTTTTCAATATACTTTGCTTAATTTATTTAAATAATGATTCCCAATTTATATTACCTTCCACTGAGAAGTACCTACTTTGTGGGTAATCAAAGAGTTGTGCACTTGAACTTCAAAATCATTAAGTATTTAGTCCAAAAAATATTTGATTCTAAGTTTACCTCGGCTTTGTCTAAATTATGTAGGAGGAAATAAGGTCAATGCCTACCGGCTACCTACTGTGTGTGAGGCATTTAGACACATTATCTTATTTAATCTTCACAACAGCTCCGTAAGAAACAAATTTCTCCGGAGAAGGAAGTGATGACTCAGAAGTACAGCAACCTGCAAAAAAGGTGATCAAGTCAACAGAATACACCATTTGCTTTTTACGAAAAGAAATCTCACTTTGGGTAATAACCCAATAGGTAGTTTTTCCTTAGAATATGTGAGTTTCCTCTACAGTTCTATTCTAAATATTTAAATTCTATAATCACATGACTAGAGAGTCTCAAATGTTTACTTACCAATATTAATTAAAAGCATTCAAATCATAGAGCTGCAAATCGCGTTTCAAAATAAGGTTTGTTAAAGTAGTGCCTCTCTTAGTCATCTTGTGGCTTATTGCACTTCCTGAACCAACTATCCATCAACTTCCTCTTTTTCTGCAGAAAGCAGTTCAGTTTGGCTACAGGACCATTTTTAATCTGAACTGAACCACCCCTTTTGCTTTCTTAGCCAAATCGGCAAAATGTCCAGTTAGAACAAGAATTTAGCATTCTGCAAAAAGAAGTTAACAGCTGAGGTAAGAACACTTTCACACAGGCAATCTGGTTTGATCTTTGTTGTGTATGAAATTTATTTTTAAAACTAAACTGCTGTTAGCGTTTTATACATAAACTCTGCTAGCCTAAAGATATCTATTAACAGTTTTGTAATTTCACTGCATGGTATTAAAAATGTTCAGTGATGGGGCGCCTGGGTGGCTCAGTCGGTTAAGCGTCCGTCCGACTTCAGCTCAGGTCATGATCTCACGGTTCGTGGGTTCGAGCCCCGCATTGGGCTCTGTGTTGACAGCTAGCTCAGAGACTGGAGCCTGCTTCACATTCTGTATCTCCCTCCCTCTCTGACCCTCCCCTGGCTCACGCTGTCTCTCTCTCTCTCTCTCAGAAAAAAAAAAAAAAAAAAAAAAAATTTAAAAAAAGTTTATTAAAAAAATGTTCAGTGTTGAGCTTGCCTTGGAGAAAAGTGTTCAGCTAGGTTGGTATAATATAAGCCCTTTTAAGTTTATTCAATCACAACAGTTAGTTAGCCTTAGTTCTATGATTCAAAGACAGAAACTTATAAACATGGTGGATAAAGCTATAGGGTTAGAAGTAAAACTAGAATCCATGGGGTATGACTGAATTTATAAGCCCCAAATGCCAACCGTTAAGAGTTCTAACTTGCTTCTTATAAAATTTTCCTATCTGTAACATAATCCATAGACTTAGTTTTTAATCCCCTTTAGTTCCCATGGTAAAAATGGTCATCTTCCCCTTCACTTAATTTAAAAAGAAAGCAAAGGAGATTAGATGACATACTCAACTATCATTATTACATATGCTTTAGTTTTTACACATACAGAATTTTATATTTAACAATTTTATATTTAAGTAATACTTTTTAATTTATGTTTAATAAGAATTTTATTGGCTCATTTTTAAAGCTCACTAAGACAAAACTGTTTTTGATAAAATGTGTGTACATGTATTCATATCATCTACGTATTTATGCCACACATTATCATCTGAGCCTTTAGTAAATGGTAGAAGATAAATATAGGAAAAAAACTCTCACAGGATCAAAAATAGAATATTCTGTGAGTAAACCGGGCAGTTATAAAGTAAATATCCTCCAAAATAAAAATTGCAAAGAGTTTAGTTTATATAGGACTTGTAATATCACAGAACAAATTCATAGTGGGTGATGCTCTATTTCAACATTTCATAAATAGTTATGACTTTCCCTTATAGAAGTCCACTTTGGATTTTTTCTAAGTAATTATTACTTCAGTTTGAAAATAAAGATTTTTATCATTTTTTAGACAAGACTTATCTCTCTATAATTTTAAAGGGTCAGTTCAATAGTACTTGTGAGTTTATGGGGTGCCTGGGTGGCTCCATCAGTTAAGTGTCTAACTTCCACTCAGGTCATGATCTCACGGTTCGTGAGTTCAAATCCTGCGTTGGGCTCTGCTGACAGCTCAGAGCCTGGAGCCTGCTTCGGATTCTGTGTCTCCCTCTCTCTCTGTCCTTTCCCCACTCACACTGTCTCTCTGTCTCTCAAAAAAGGAATAAATGTTAAAAAAATAAAAAGAAATAGTACTTGTGAGTTTAATAGTACTTGTCTTTTTCCAATTAATTCCTATGTAACTCTACTTAGAAGGAAATTATGAATTCTGAATAAGTTCAAACTTGTTAAATATAAATCTGATGGCTTTCAATGTCCAATCTTTAAGTCACCTCAAATATGATAGCTTCCAAGGTAACCATTCAAAATTCCCACAACTGTTTTCACAGAATCAGAGGACTAAGTGGTTTTTTCCCTACCATTTACTCAAGAGGACTAAGTAGTTTTTTTCCCTACCATTTACTCAAGGCAGCCTCCAAAAGTTATTTACATATCTGTTCTCAGAGATCCCACGTCTCCTTCCTTCATAAAACATTCCTGCTTCATAATTTTACTATGAAAGACAGTGCAGCATATATAGTGACTCGTAACAGAAGGAAATGGCTCGGTACACGACTGGCATGATTTCTTTAACAGTGCCTTTATTCGCAACTGTGACATTCTGGCTAGTTACCCCACATCTCTGGGTCTCAGTTTCTCTATCTATAAGATGAAGGTAATACTACCTTGCTCATCAAAATAGGATAGTACCTAACATTTAGTGGGTACTCAGTAAATGATAGCTATTCTTACTGATAAAAGTCACCAAATACTTCCTATTATAGTTCAAGGTTAATCTCCTTTGCCAGTCTTCCTTAAGACACAGAACTGGTGTTTTCTTCCTTTCGTGAGTTAACTTAACCAGCTGGAGATACACTACAATAAATTTTAAGCTGTCTATATTGTAACTTATTACATCAAAGTAGTAATAATATCAAATTCATAATAATTCAGGTATTATTATTACCTATACTTGACTTTTTCTCAGGAATATGCTCTCTGAATCTCCATGATTCTCTTTAAATGACCTATTTCTTATCATAGCCAACTTAACAGAATCAATTTTAACTGGACTTTCTTTTTAAAAACTTATTTATTTAGAGAGCGAGACGTGAGGGAGGGAGGGGCAGAAAGAGAGAGGAGAAAGAGAATCCCAAGCAGGCTCTGCACTGTCAGCACGGAGCCCAACTTAGGGCTCGATCTCACAAACCAGGAGATCATGACCTGAGCTGAAATCAAGAGTCGGTCGCTTAACCAATTGAGCCACCCAGGCGCCCCTAAATAGACTCTTTATATACTTATGCCATTATATTGTTAAGAACATGTTTAATATATGAGGCTCCTACTTCACTATAACTGCCTGTATATACTTAGTTAAAATACAGCTGATGTTTTCCTTCTTCTTTTAAAACATTTTTAAATGGTCAGGGAAAGCAAAGGAGTGAAATCACAGATTTTGACCTCAAAGTTGCCAACCTATAATAATGAGCAAGATCCTGGCATATGAAGGTAGAAAAATGTGGGATGTGCTTGAGCAGCAGACTAAGGGATTTTTAGAAAAATGCTATGCTATGTGCATGGATTCTTTTGAATAATGAGCAGGTATGCTTCTGAACAGTGTCAGGGAAAAAATGTCAAAAGGATCTTAAGGATCCTTAGAACAGACAGAGGAACGTGAAATGAAAGACAAGTGTGTTTGAGAAGTCGGGTGAGTCATGTCCTCCATCTCGGGAAGGCAGGTCTTTCCGCAGATACAGGCCAGTGACAGAGGACAGCACTTGGTGGCACTCTCCTTCATCCGCTTCAATGTCTCCCCCAACTTCTTTCTCATTTTGCCCACTCTAATCATCGACCCTACGTTCTTGCTAGTTACATAACCACCACTTTTTCTTCAACTTTTCGTAACTTTTCAATACTTTCTCTAGTCCACTGACCTTCTCCTTTTCCATGTATTTGCTGCTTCCTTTAATTTTTGCTTTATTTTTCTCTTTGGTGCTATTTTTTTTAATTTCTTTGCACTCTTTATTGGTTTATATTTTTTTTAAAAACCTACATATGTTTCTGTAGTAACTTTCTGTGCTGGTAGTAACGGCCACCTTCACTTCTCTGCGTTAGAAAAGTTAAAAGTTTCTTCACTACTAGGCCCCCTCTTTTAAATCCCACTCTTTCTTTTCTGGACTGTTCTGATTTGCTGCAGAATTCTAACAGATTCTAACATTCTGATGTAGCAGATGCCGGGAGGGCAGACGGCTAACTGAAGATTGGGAAAGAGAGATAAGATAGGTAAAAAACAGAATTTGGTTTTGATACTGCTGTAACCCTTAGATGACAAGCAAAAGATCTCATGTAGTGAACGTTTTATGATCCTCCTATTGATCAAAGAAACTATGAACCTCTCAAAATTAATCTTACAAACTAAAATAGGCTTATAATTATGTTCCTGTTTGGGGTTTTTCCTTCTCTAATGCCTTTTTCAGCTAAATGAAAAGAGGAACCATGTGGGTTTTTAAAACATTTTAAGTGAAGTCACGAAAGAGGAAACATTTCTGGCTGAAGCCAATTCACAGCCTATATTTTCCAATGCTTTGGATGGCATTTTCTAAAAAAGCAAAGTGAAACTCTGAAGAATAACTTTTGGGGGGGGGGTGGCAATCTGTAAGAAGAGCAAGTGGGAACTGTGCACGGGAACCATCTAAAATGATATCAAATCCCCATATTTATGCTAAAAGTTTCCATTTCTTTCTCTATTAAGCCCTTTGTGAAATGGGTAATTTAATAACTTAGAGTTCATCTTCTCTGCTTACATTCTGGCAGAAGTATTAATAGTGAAAAGCTGAAAAGGAAAGGAACCATGAAGCCAATACGGGTTAGGTCCTCACTACGCTCCTAACACACACGGCTCTTTGCTGGAAAGGAATCAAGATGGAAACCCTGAGGTGGTTTAGGGCAGTAAAAAGAACATGTGCTTGTGAATCAGATGGTCCTGGGTACAAATGCCAATCTGTCCCTAACAGTGACATAACACTGGGCAAACTCTTTTTTTTTTTTAAGTGGTTTTCGTAAAAGTTTACTTATTTTTTAGAGAGAAACAGGGTGTGAGCAGGGGAGGGGCAGAGAGAGAGGGGGAGACCCAGAATCTGAAGCAGGTTCCAGGCCCCAAGCTGTCAGCACGGAGCCCTCCCTGCGTGGGGCTCGAACCCACAAACCGTGAGATCATGACCTGAGCTGAAGTCGGACACTTAACCGACTGAACCTCCCAGGCGCCCTGACGCTGGGCAAACACATGTGAATTTGTCTCTTTATCTGTAAAGTCAAGGATTCCACCATCTTCCTCATAGAGTCATTTAAAGGTTAAACAGCTATGTTCCAGATAAATATTTTTCTTGGTTTCTTTTCTGCCTTCTTCAAGGTTCTTATTTGAGCAGGTGGGGATAATAAAATGTGATCAGTTAAAAGTAATAAAAAATAAACACAATTATTTAAGAGAATAAAGATGTGAGTGAGGTGCGAACATGAATAATTATCTAAGGAACCATAAAGATGACAAGAACTAGAAGAATTCAGAGAATGGCTGATCTGTCTGGACTGTGGTCC